TATATATATATATATATATATATATAGCCTATATAATATATATAAGAGTTTTCTGTATGACAGAAGCAGGATGCAATCCAAGCCTCTTATATCAATGCACAATAATTCGAAGACACGTTGCAATTAGCGATGGTAATACTAATTGACAATCATACCACTGAAGTGGGTTTTCCAGCAAACATAAGCACGCTCTGCGTGTTATCTAACTGTTATTTGATTCGGCAATCAGACTACCAATGGTATTTATTAACGAAGCACTGTTCAGAAATGCATTTATAAACATGGACAATCGTAGGCATTATGTCGGCTTTTCAGGGCAAAACGATGTAGGGTTATATAGAAAGGTAAAGAAGCGATTGAAATATATTTATAAGATATTCTTCTCCTTTGATGCATTTATAAATCATGTATTATTGCGGTACAGAGTCTTTGAGACCTGCCGGTATACGTACTATATTGGGATACGCACACCTTTATGAATTTTATCTCTGTAAAAAGAAATTCTCTCAAGCAGTAAGGCAAAAAAAATGCGCATGTCTATTTCGAATTTTATGGTGCACATACAAGTATACAGCTTATTGTGACCTATCGTTATGGTATGTTGGCTTAGCAGTAAAATACTAAAACAAATATTTTTACAAGTTAATTAAATCGAGATACACATTGTTTAAGATGAAACCTAAAACAATACATAAAAATTTAATTTAAAAGAATCAATTGTTCAACGAAAATAATGATAATGAAAATGCAATGAAAGAGTATTTTATTTTTATGCTATTGAGTGTTTTTATGTACTTTTATGCTTTTTACTGTAAACATCTTTTTTTCATCGAAAAAGTAGTCTCGAATTTGGTTTCTAATTAGAGGGATTTTTGAATTGAAGATCGAATTGGATGGTGCACTGTATGTCTATAGGCGTACATCTATCTAAACGCAATCGCTGACAAATTTGAATTAAGCATTATATGATCCTTAGCTCCCTGGACTGTCACTTTAACCTGACGTCTGTTGAACCTTTTCGCAAATTTTAGAACGTAGAACAAATTAAGGATGGCGTGACGTCAGAACATGCGACCATTTGTAGTAATCTTCGACTTCCTGACATTCAGAGAGGCGTTCAGTGCCAAGAATCTCTCACATGATGGGGGTGAGGAGTACCCGTTGATCTTGCAGGATTCGAATCGATGCATCAGTGATCGCTAATGACATCATCATTGAATATTATATAAAGGTCGTGTGTATGATGGCTTTTGTGAGTAAGTAGGTTTGGATAATTCGAAGCATTGCGACCAGCTTAGATGACTTTGATCATTATTTGATAATCCATCCCTTTTGTATAAGGATTTCCTGTCGAGTATGACGGGTGATTGATGATTCTCCGCCCCCGTCCGACATCATAAAGAAAATGCCAATACACGTCACAACTTATTCCAGTCCAATTTTCACCTAACACCAATTGTGCCATAATCTTTTGACAATTTTTATCGCCTGGCTAAAAAAATCGGAAAATGATGAACTCAATTGGGAAATGGTTAAGTGCGCTCGATGCCAAAAGAGCGCGCGTGACGTCACTAAAATGCACCTCGATCAGTTTTAAATTCTGCAGTTACATTTTTCCAGGCCAGATTGGCGTTTCAGTGCTTACTATCTGTTTAAAAATGGAAATCGAATTCCTTAAAAACTTTTAATAGATAATTTGAAAGTGTCAAATTATAAATCATCCTTAACTTGATTACCAGCCAATTTATGGGTATTTAAAAAAAAAGAACACAGGAAAAGTATTATTTAAATTTCAGTTAATTGACAGGAAATTAATATATATATATATATATATATATATATATATATATATATTATATATATATATATATTATATATGTATATATATATGCCTATAGGCCTATATAAAATTTAAACAATTCAAATATGGAATTGAAATTTTCAAATATATTTGCTCATGAAAGACAGTATCTTAAACTCTGACGCCTTTACAAACTTGATTACTCTAAAAACCTTAACCACATCGTCTGCGATATAAATGTGTATACTTATGCACACGTAGGCTACTGTGTTTCATTTGTATTATTTACACTTATATTATTAGGCTATATATGTCTACTACCATTTCAATGATTAAGCCTTACAGCATAATGGTTTAGTGTCTTTTAATTATCAACATATATAATATAATATAATATAATATAGTAATGATACAATACAAAACAGAACAATTCGGGTAGTTTAATGCTATTGTATATGTAATGAATTAATATGATATGACATGTGAGATGATGATGTAATGATATAAGATATAGGCCTACGTACGATTATGGTATATATGGACCGGTAATGATATAATATAATTTAACCAACAACAACAGTTTTTTTCAGAACTACTGTATCTGTCTCTTATACACATCTAGATGTGTATAAGAGACAGTATATATATACCATGGAAACCAGGGAGACCTGTGTTAGCTTAATTGGTAACAGATCAGATAAAAAATAATATTTAGATATTGAGTAATGCTGGCTTGCATCACTTTATAAGTTTTGCCCCACATTATCAATAGTTTACATGTAATTATTATCTATACAATTTCCACCAAGAAAAATACAAATAAAACATCTTAAATTATGGACAAATACTATCATATATAACATAACAAAATATACAACTATAATAAAATTTACAATTTTAAGTTAATGAGATTATATAAATGAATGAGTATCATGTAACAGGTTACTGTTTAAAACAGATATAGTTACGCATGCGCATTATACAAAACCGCATATATGAAATCTGTGTTGTTAATACATAAACATTTACATCGTTTATAACCCTATGTGAACTATGAAAGTTATATAGGCTAAATGTTAAAATAATATTATGATACATTATTTATCAAATGTTGGAACATATCATAAATTGATCGAGCGAATGGCAATATTTAAAAACAACAAAAACTAACCTATTAACTCAGGCCTAAAGGTTGAATAAATAATGCACCGGAGAGATCGGGAAATCATTTATATTTTCACCAAGGAAATTATTTTTGAATTATTACTTTATGAGTTACTTGATAAATTGATAGCACTTAGGTCTAATGAAAATATATTAGTAGCGAACAGTAGCAGAATGCAGAGCATATCTGCAGTTGTAGTAGGCCTACTTTTGATTCTAGCCGCTGCTTTGGCGCTCTAAACCGTGAGGACTGCTTGTATCGATAATTCTATCGTCGCTGCTATAGATTTCCAACTTTTCAACTGAAAAGCTGAAATACAAGGTAATTGCATCGTCTGCCGTAAGAGACATTTAAGCCATTGCTCATAATGCATTGGATTTATAGCCCAGGTGTACGTGTACATAATAATTCAAAATATTGTGGAGTAGAAGTAGGCCTCAAGTATCTAATTGAATGTAACCCTCATGTAAACGATGCATAGAGAGTTGGGGGGGGGGGTTCCAGGGCATGTCTAGAACATAAATATAAGCCCAAAAACTGTATTATTTTATGCAGTTTTTAAAGACTGTTAAAACATTAAACACTGGTTCAAAAGCGTGTATACCATACGTCTTTTAGAATGTTTGAATTTAAACAGTTTTAAACATTACCATACGGATACACTAATCGTTATTAGTGAACATGACTTAATTTGTTAATTTTTATTTAATTAAGGATTGAGATGTGATGGTATTTAAAAGAAGCACTGTAAAAAACAGCGTGGAGGATTTAAACACAAAAGATCCTCTCAAGTTTTTCCAGCTTTTGGTGAAACGTTCGAAAGCCAAACGTGTTTAGGCATTGCATATACCTATATTGTGTTTAGGTTCGTGACGTTGTATAGCAATAAGCGTATTTAGGTATTTCGCATCATAACAAATATCTAAGATATTACTAAACACGTCAAGATCATAAGCACTAAAGCGGGACAACATTTCGTTGAGCTTTGGATTTATATTCTTCAAGATTTTTTCACAGTGTAGAATCAGTTAACGAGATTACACAAGTTGATCATCTTTTTTTTACAATTATTGATCGGCTTCGTATCTTCTAAACTCTTTAACATGAGTTCAATGAACTTCCAAGAAGAATATCGGTTCACTTCATTTCACAAAATCCCATATCCCATAATTCTTAGGTAGTGCGTGTAGGAAACATCTATCTTTAAAGACGAATTTATTATTATTATTATTAAAAGTCACAGTTTATATTACCGAAGTTTTTCAATTTTCAATTGTTTCAATATATACCAAGTTCAAAAACAAATCAGAATTAATTAAAGAGAATGTAAACACTTATTTAAAAAAGTAGAATAACATTTTAAAGAGAGAGAGAAAAAACGCAAAACACCTTTCGCGAGATCGGGTGTCAATTCCGCACTAAAAAGTTTTGCGATTCAGTCGGTACCTCCTCCTTGTTGGTGATTTCGTAGATCGGCGGCACTTCGGTACTATTCGGTAACCCGACTGGGTATATCTGGACTTTAGAAGTACATTTACGCACCTATAACCTGGACAGCATTCTGGTAAACCTTGTAGCCAGCCCCGTCTGGCTCTCCCACATGCAGTAAACGATTGTTCTGTTCCACAATCTGGGTTCTGTAAATACAACACGATAACCCATATTAAAGTCATAGTTTCACCTTATTGACAATTCCCGTGTCACAACAGCAGTAGTAACAGCAACAGCTACGACAGCGACAACAACAACAGGACAATCAACAACTTCTACCTCCATCACCCCCACCACTACTACTATTACTACTACTACTACTACTACTACTACTACTACTACTACTACTACTACTACTACTACTCTAAATGACGACGGCGATGGTGAACAATGATTATCGTCATAATAATAATAATAATAATAATAATAATAATAATAATAATAATAATAATAATAATAATTGTCAATTTATATAGCGCATAATGCAAAATACCTCTATGAGCTTTACAGCATGGAGTGGGATAAATTATTAAAAGATTCACTTAAAAAAATAATAAATAACAATAATGAATAACAACAAAATATACGATTACTATGTTAATAAATAAATAATTTGAAAATACAGAATCTTATTTACCTTCTTTTTAATCTATCTAATTGTTAAATATTTATTTTCTCAGTCTTATTACCTTACTTACCTTTTACTCTTTTTTCCACGTCTTTATTTCCATTTACATTTATCTTCTTTCATACTTACGACCTGTCTCTCATTACTTTTACTTCCCTGTAATTTCTTTCTTTACCTTTTCTTCCCCTACCCACTTTTCCTCATTTCATTTTTCTACCTCTTTTCATGTTTTTCCTTTCCTCTTCCTTCTCTTACCTTATATTTTCTTTCCTTTCCACATTTCTTCTTTCCTTTCTCTTCTTTACCATTTCCTTTCTTTTTCTTTCTTTATCTTTTCGTTTTCTTTCTTTTTCTTTCATTTTCTTTCTTTTTCTTTTCCCCTCTTTACCTTTTCATTTTCTTTCTTTTCCTTTCTTTACCCTTTCGTTTTCTTTCTTCTCATTTCATAACCTCTTCGTTTTCTTTCTTTTTCTTTTCATTTCTTAACCATTTAGGTTTATTTCTTTTTCTTTTCCTTCATCATTATTATTCTCATCATCATCAATCATAATCATCGTCATCATCATCATCATCATTATCATCATTATTATTTTTATTATTATCGTAAATATTATTGTTGTTATTATTGTTCTCGTTCATTATTATTATTATTATTATTATTATTTTTATTATTATTATTATTATTATTACCTAATATTATAATAACTCAATTACTATTACTTCAATGGGCATAGCGGTAGTTTTTAACTCACAGTATGGACTTTAAATTTAATTATCTTTACATTCTGTGTATGTGTTGTTCTATGTTGCTTCACTGTCGGGGGATAGCCTGATGCTTGGGAAGGATGTAACACTTGAATAGGTAAAAGAAAAATCAACGATGGGAGGAAATATGCTGTACAGTAGAACCCCCTTTTTTGGGATACCCCTAATAAGGGGACATATTTTTTTTCGGCGAAGAAACGAAGGAAAATTAAAATTATGGCCAATCCATATTCAGGGACAGCCCTAGTTAAGGCGACACTGTTATTGGTCCCGAAAGTATCCCCTTACTAGGGGTTCTACTGTAACGGTATTTTGTTCATTCATTTATGTTTGTTTGTTTGTTTACCTTAAACTTGGTGGGTTTACGTTGATACCCTTCGCTGCCTTGTGCATCTGTTGTTATCAAGAAACCCAGTACCAGGCACACTATTGCAAACAGGCCTAAGTATGAGCAGCCCATTTCCACAAAATCTTTAAATATAAAGCAAAGAAAAAAAAATTAGTCATGGTACCATGTGATGTGCAGAGAAACGGATAGTTTTGTTTGTGTATTGCTTGAAATGTCAAATATGGAGATAAAGCGATAGAGATACAGAAGGGTACAAACAGACACGTCGCCATGAATAAACAAGGATTTAAAAGACAATTCTGATTGTGATCGCGTAAACAGGACGACCTTTTCAATTCTGTACCAAGTTGAGCCACATATAAATCACAGCACTTCTAAAGCTGCATCCGACGGTTTCTTGTAGCACAAGAGTTGTGACCGCATCACATTGGCGTGTCACAATTATTCCTGGAGTACTATGTATTTAGATTTATGCGGCTTGATGTAAGGTTAATTTAGCAATATTACAGATGTCTTAGGCTTATATAACTTGAGGGAATTCATAATTTATAAATAATACATGCATATCCCTGGTGAATGCAAAATGCGGTGGCGGACGGAAGGTTACACGATCCAGAATAATTTCAGTTGGAAAAATGAATAATACAATTGCAGTTAGCCTAATCATTGCTACAGTAACAATAATACCAACATAGAATCCCGAAAATGAACCTCGGCCTACGGCAGGTTTTAATTTAATATCTGCATTGTTATGTTGATGATGGCGATAATTCTTAGTAGTAGCAAACGTAGACCACAGTTAAAAACCTGATTATTTATGTACGATTTGGATTCCATTAGTCTTATATTGCGTAAACATTATATTACCTAAGGATATTAATGCCAACCTAAGTAAGTTTGCTATGGCTAACAATGGGCTTACTAAATTCACATCCAAAAGGGTATCATTTTTCGCTCAATAGAGGGCGGATGTGAAACTTAATATTGACACCTACATCCATAGAGATCAATACCCTTTCTCCTCCCTATTAAATTTGGGATGAAAAAAACTAACAATAATAGCATGAAAATTGCCATTATTACACGCAGACAGACTTGCTTTTTTTAAAAAATTATTATTCTTTCTTATTAGTTGCTGATGTCGTGCTCCCTTGCAAATCCCTGAAACACAACTGGAATTATTAGCTAATAGATGCTGAACTATTCAATACACACATGGCCCATGAGATATATAATTCTGAATCATCTAACGTGCAATGTTTTGCATTGTAATGCAGTAGCCATCAATGTTAAATGTGTTCATGCCATTCAATATACTCTATCAATCCTATAAAATGTCAACATCCCACAACAAATTTTTACGCGATTTGTGTGGTATTTTACGTGTCTTCACGTTCACGCATCATAGTACGTTTTGTCGGTCAGCGCGCGCACCTTTATGAAATACACAGCATCAACCAATAACATGTGATGAAATTAAGGATGTTTACATTCTAGACTAGAATAGGTATTGCAATCATGATTACAAGCGAACATGCATTATGAGGTATGAGCATTACAATAACGCTTTAATCTGTCAGTGAAAAAAAAAGTTAATTATTATACTTACCGATTATTCAACTCGTTTACGAGATGAAAAATTGATAACTTCACTGAACACAACGCCAGTCACAAATAAGCAAGGTAAATTGCGCGACCGGATGATCCAGCATTTGGATTCGCATCACAGTATTACTGACAATTTTCCTAACAATGTTTGCTTGGCTATTAATTGCGAAAGAAAGCCTTGGATTGAGCACATTTCGCTTACTAAATAGTAACACGTTGTGTTAAGTTCACTCACATAACGCCTTGTCGATCATCACATGACGTAGTGCAACTATGCTCTGATTGGACAATCAAATTATACCGTCGCGTCTAACTGTTTCTTGTTTAATATTCTCTAAGCTACTTTAATAATAAAGGCACTCAATATGAATATTTCGTTTATAATAATAAGATATACGGGGATATTTTTTTTTTCTGCCATCGGTAATTTTAGAAACCATTTCGACCCCCAGGATATTATTTTTGTATGAAATGATACATGATACCTATTATCCCATACATCGCAATAGCTGTTATTTTAATTAAACGCCTACGATCATAACTAACGACAAAGAACGAAGAATCCGGACTGTGTTATATAATGAGGCGTCCCGGGAATAATTTCCGCGAAAAAACAAACAAAAACCACTTCGGTGAAATTAATTGTGATGGTATCCATTGTATGCGTTTACATTAATTACAATACAACTCCATAAATATAAACAGTATGCATATCAAAATAACATTATTAATCCACAAGCGTTTGTTCACACTGTGAACTTTTCAGTAAAACAAAGTCACTGAAGAACAAGAGTCACGTGTTTAGTTACGATAGGCCCAATGTTTGAGAGTCAACTTGCAGTGTATCAGAATTTATTTAGGACGGCGTATACAAACTGCATATTCCATGGATGTATCCAAATCTGACAAACTTTCGGTCATTTGGAGGTTTCTGTAAATTATAAGGTCGGATGTCGAGGATACTACGACATCCGTCACGGATATGTAGGCCTATGTCTACTTATATTCGTATCATACCGGCGTTACACAACTTACTATAAATGCGCCACAATAATCGTGCAATTAAAAATATGTAGCCTATTCGATAAACTTGCTTTATCTGAAAGTTATTAAAAACGTTATGCTTGCCATGTTTGGCATTCCCCTTTAACCTTTTAGTAATGAAAAAGTACATACCTTGATATGAAAGCTATGAATCTGCACTCGCATATGTTTATCCTTCCTTTCCTTGCAGACCCAACGGTAATGGTCTGTTGCTACTTTTTCAGAGGAGCCTCCTTATGTTCTGGAAATTTTGAGATAGGCAAATTTTTACCTCCTGCCACATCCCAGAGAAATTTCAAGTCATTATGATGTTCAGTATAGTTTAATAGGTTTAACGATCCTAGATGTCGTACCGAGCATTGTGAACAGAAGAGAGTATAGTAATACACATTATATCAATACTATCCTCCTAGGAATTATATTGAATTCGGGATCAAGACGATGATCGTTATGATAAGTCAAACATTTTACTTATCTTTAAAAAATATGAGTACTTTGATTCAGGTGTTGTCACATAAGCTATTGATTAATGACATCAAAATGAGCAACCTGACAGCATAATAGGGCCTAGCTATATCGCAGTTCCGACTGCGCATGTCGGTGACGGTCACAAGTGAAGACATAAACAAAATAATGTAGATTAACATCAACAGTTACACTACTACTTGGATAGGCATATATATATATACTGTCTCTTATACACATCTAGTCTCTTTGAGACCTGTCTCTTTTACACATCTAGATGTGTATAAGAGACAGCATATACATAGGCAAATATATATATAAAATAAAACTCGTAGAGATGGTAATAGATTTGCCTCAAAATTTATTAAGAAAATAGACGAGATCTTTCGGGCGTAACCCTTTATCAAGTCAGTATATATATATATATATATATATATATATACTATATATATATAGGCCTATATATAATATATAGGGCCTATATATTATATATAGGCCTAATTACGATTACATTATTATATAGGCCTACATTATATGAAAATGACAGCGTCAGTGCGCATGCGCAATTAATCTACGAGAAGGCGTAATTTTTACACTGTATTCTTGATATAATAATTAATAATTTGTTTTTGATAATAATCGTTCTTTCTTTATTTCTCCTCATTCTAATTGCAAATCGGAAATTTTCGTTGGGTCCCTGGGGACCCCGCGGAAGCCGCCGTGCAGTGCCACCCGACTTAACTACAACATATAACAGACACATACGGACACTTAATGTTGCACTTATCCCGCCTAACTCTCAATAATGAGGGTTATTCCAGGAGTCAAGCGATTATACTGGCTAGGTTTGAACGGGGGCGGGGGAGGGGTCTTCAGCACAAAAAGCAGGAACAATACCTCTCAGCGAACCGCCCTAGCCCCCAGTAGTTCCATAGAAATAAGATACATAAGATACATAACATGCAATGTTATGTAGCAAAACCTATGCTATTTTTAGACGACTTCGATATGAGTTGTTTATTGTATTCACAGTGGAACTAAACTAAGGTACGTGTTGCAGATCAGTTATCACCAAGCAATTCACCTATGCCAAATAATACAGAATAATATTGATGGCTTGTTATGAAGTTCGATATTCGATACATAATAAGTTACGTAGATATGACGTAGAAGGACTACAACAAGGTGAGTAAGGGCATTCACTGAAGATGATACACAGAGACGAACTGCTTCGCATTTTTATCCATTCTTGGCCTGACCCCCTTTCCGTTTGATGCATTTAAACCACAATTTATTCTGCGTGTGCAATGGTTACCGGTGGCTATGTTCATGTATATAAGACACGTGAAAAGACAGTACTAATTTCGTTTTTCCTATCATTCTAAGAACGAACGTCATAATTACATAATCATATGATTAACTGTAGCACATGTATAAAATTGGCGTAAATAAATTGTACAAATCGTTTGGTCTCAATCTGAATTTTAATCATTCATTTCTTAAGTATTCATAAGCACCAGTAAACAACCAGCAGGCCTAATTTCCCGTTCCTTTCGTTCCATTCTTCATATGACTCAACTCATCGAGTTTATTTGCTTACCTTTGTTTTATTTACTTCTTTTTATATTTTTTATTCAAACTTCTCATTTTGTTTCATTTAATTTATTGTACTTATTTATTTACTGTATTTATTAAAAAACTTTTTATAGGCTCAAATTATTAATAATTTTTTTTTTTTTTTTTAGGTGGCCTGAGCTTAACTGTCTCCGGACCTATACAGGCCTCCATTCATTTATCAATAAAAAAACAAAAAATTTTCTTTTTTCTCTTGTGAAATGTAAATAATTTATTGATAATGATGAAAAAACTGTAACAGTAAGTATTTGTCTCAAAAATATAAGCTGATATCAGGTCCACTAACTATAAATATAGATTCCAATAACCTAAAGTCATATTAACCGTGCACCAGATTATCTCTCAGAAAGACCAGTTGTGTTTTCATTTGTCTCGAGATATACGGGTGTGAGAGTTATGCAGGTTGGTTTCAATAAAATTGCTAAGAACTATCGGTATTTGGTCGGGTGAATATGGCCCAATGGCCGCGGGAATTAGTTATGCAGTGTATGACGATTGCAGGTTATGGCGGGTAGTGTAGCAATTTTATGGAAACCAATTCGTAAAATGGTGAGCAGGAATGATGAAAAGCAGGCATGATGAAAACGAGGCAATGTTGATGACAAGCCGCCCAATCTGCCATCGATAATCTGCAGACGGCGGCATCGAGTCATCAAGCACTCACGAAGAGCGGATGGATTCGTCGGTCAACGGTCGTAGGTCGTAGGGCTACTGCGTAGGTTTGTGCCTGACTTAAGCACTGGGGCTACATTAGATCGGAGTTGACATTTGCTTATATACTGGTGAGATATCTCGTTAACCCCAAGGTCACGGGTTTAATTCCCCCTCACAATCGCATTATGATCCTTTATTTACTTTCAGTTTGAAGAGCATTACATCCATCACCACGAATTTGACACTTCACTCTGTGGCTAAAAGCGATATAGAAACAAATCTAGATATAGAAAAAAACCACCCCGTCTAACAATAGTTTTTCTTTTTTTAAAATAGGTTATCGAACGTCATCTAACTTATGTATTCTCGTCACAAATTGATATTCCTTTATAATCGCACGTTTTAATTAAATTTATTTTGTGAGCAAGCTATTAAATCGGTTGTTGATGAAATATTCACACCTTTAAATCAATAATCGCGAATAAAATATAACAATTCATTGCATTTTACATGATGATTTAAAGTAGGCCTATGATAAAAAAAAAAAAACAAAAACAAAAACCATTAAATAAACAAGATTTTTTCAGGCACATTTTATAACAAGGAATAAGGACAGAATATAATTTCAAAAGGCAAGCCTTACCTGACTCCTTGAAGTATACTGTATTTTCAGAAAGAAGACACACTGAAAAACAGAATGAGCGGATAACAGGTATATGGATGACAGGGAATTTTGAAGGAAAATCACGCCTGCATTGTAGTTCATGCCATATTTAATAAACAGAACAAATTATATAGGCCATATAATCAGTTAGATCAATAAATATATATAGATCAAAAGACAAAATAGTAAATTGCAAAAAGCTGTACAGGAAACATGGCTTGTTCTGAGTTTAGGTACGCACCTAGAAAGTTAAACTTAAATATGAGACAAACAGCCAATACGTCTGCGCAAATAGGCCTAATATATGATTATATCTTCATCATCATAATCATCATTTCAGCCATTATCAGCCCACTACAGAGCGAAGGCCTCCCCAAGCTGAAACAATGCACGCCTGTCATCTGCAGCCCTCATCCAGGACATTCCGGCAAATCCCACGATCTCATCCCTCCATCTGATGTTAGGTCTTCCTCGACCTCCGTCGTGTGCCTAAATCTTGGAGTTCATTCAGTTGTTAAATTCGTCCACTTGTTGTCATTTGTCCTGGCGAGGTGCCCTGCCCTTCTTGAGATGTGTATAAGAGACAGTGATGAAAAAACTGTAACAGTAAGTATTTGTCTCAAAAATATAAGCTGATATCAGGTCCACTAACTATAAATATAGATTCCAATAACCTAAAGTCATATTAACCGTGCACCAGATTATCTTTTATAAATATATTTTTTCAAAAATATATATATATATATATATATATATAT